AAGGTAAAGCAAATCTGATGATTACTTTCCTAGTGTTTCAAGGAAAGTAGAGGTAGCCTACAAATTTGACCATGAAGAAGCTACAATACCTCTCTAGGAACTTGAGTGCTACTCTTGCTGATTCCTTTAATTATATTCAACAAATTCCTAGGTACAAACTCACCTCACACCTCTCACCTACCCCAAGCAAGTTCTTTCTTTCTTTTAGTCTTTTTTTTGGTCTATACTCCAAGCCAGGTATTCATCAGTTATCTGCATTTTTTTTTGCCATATTTGCTCTTTCACTGTATTCTCTGCAGTAGAAATACTACACAGTGTTTGTCTAGTTTAGGCATTAGACCATGGAACACTCCTACATAGAAACGGTTACCTTCATATTACCAAATGATGATGGATAAATGCCTTTCTCAGATGCTGAAGAAGTTTCAGACACCTGTGGTGCCAGCCTCACTTTTCGTCCTTGTGTGGTGCATACACACAGATATCTAACACATTCAGTCTTGTAAAAGCAGTGTTATCGGTATTCAATTAGCACCTTGAGATGTGGCTTCAGTAATTACTTATAAATATTTATTGCCTCTGAATATGAAGTTTTTATGCTTTTATTATGATTTTTTAAAGTGGGGTATCTTATGTCAGCCATTTAACAAGAAATTGGTTTTATTCTAGATCATGGCTCCTTAAGGCAACAGGAAGAAGCTTCTGAAACAGTATTTGTAAGTGGAAGGGGGAGTTGTAGTGAGAGATCTACCAGATGCACCTGTGGCACTGACCATGCCCATTCGGGCAAGGTCACAGGTGTGTAAGTGAGCATGTGGGATTTGGTCTGGGGTTCAGGACAGACTTCCACTCTCTTGGGTCCTGTCAGGTCACGGAGAGCAGCTGGGCATTGTCAGGTCACGGAGAGAGCTGGAACTTGTGGGTTATCGGTTTCTCATGTAAGTGACTTCTCCCTGAATAAAATTAACCTATATTATCCTAGTCCCGTGTATCCTAATCTGTGCACCTACAATTATTAATTATTAAGGAATAAACAGAAGTATCTAAAACACATTGATATACTTCTGTAATTATTGATATTTTTCACAAACTATTTTGGAGGTATGGCACCAATCTTGGTAGTAATGATTGCCATCTCATAAATATGTCATTAACATAATTAAAATATGTACTAGGGAAACCATGTTCAAATATTACAGGCTTTAGAGTTTATAAAATGTCCCTGTATATGCAATCTAACCTCCACAGCAATCATGTAGTCCTAAATTCTACTCAGTTTTTGAAGACTGAGCTAATGAGAGTCACAGTTTAAGTAATCTGCTCAAATAACTCAACTAGTAAATATTGTAAACTTTTTTCATATTACACGTGTGACCTTTATATTTCTAATTCATTTCAATTCCCATATCTTGCGTAGAAAATTATTAATCATTTGACAACGTTTGTTCAGACTGAATTTTGGTCCAAATAACAATTAGCAGGTAAGTGGTGGTGCTTCACCAAGATGTGAACATTTTCCCTTCTCTCTGCAGTAATCCCAGGCCCCTCTCCAGTGATCTAGCATCATAGATCATTCCCATCAGCCTCACTTTAGAGGCGCAGTGATTCGGGGCACACCTAGCATTAGGCTCTGGAGATGGGTAAGCCTACAATTACTATCCAGCAGAGGTGAGATTCATCCTGCTCATATTTGAAAGGAGGAGTCAGATGAAACTGCACATCACAGACTGGGAAGAAAAGTGTTATTTGTTTGTTTGTTTGTTTTTGCCTCACCCTCCCTGGGGGGGTGGATGGAGGGTGGCATGGGGAGTTGGTGGGGGGACATGGGAGGATAGGCGGGAAAGAGAATTGGTATTGATATGTAAAATAAGATTGTTTCTAAATTAAATAAAGATATATAATAAAAGAAGAAAAGTGGTTTTTAATATTGAGTTTCTGATAGGAACTCTTGATCATTTCCCTTTTTAGCAGTCACTCAGTTTGAATTTACAGCTTTATGAATGAAAGCTGTTTCTGGGTCTGCTCCATTTTAAGCAGCAACACTGCAAACACATGTCCACCCACACACCCGCCCCCCCCCACATGAAGACTCTGCTTCTTAAACAAAACTGTGAACCCAAGCATGTTTCCTTGAGATGTAAATTCCATGCTAGTAGGCAACTTTAGCTTTATTTGCTCAATCTCAAGGTTTGGAAACATTGCCTGGCAAACAGCAAACCCTCTGGTGTATTTGTTGGAAAAAACAGGTCTATTCACTCTGTGATAATCAGAACTGCTCTCTGCTCTGGTTATGCAACAACAAACTAACAAAGTTCAATTAACAACCATGGCATGCACTTTTTAAGAAACTTTCCCATGACTGTTGCTGCTCATTAACCCTTATAAAAAGTTTCATGTGAGGAGATGGACTATTATCTTCATTTTATAGTAATGTGAGATGCAGACTTCATATGCTTAGAAAAGAAAACATCCAAAATGCATTATACCTACAAGAATGCAGCATTCACTTTATACCAGCAAATCTGACTTTGGTCTCATCCAATTGGCCTACAATTGGCAAAAATAGAGATTGTTTTCTTTCTTCCAAACCAATATTAATTTTACTAGCTTTGCTGAAAATCCAAGCCCTTAACCAACCATAGCTTCATGAGCTTTTGGACCCATGTTAAAAATTTTGCTTTTCACAGCCTGATTCCCTACCTTTGACAGCTGCCTCCCATCTCCTTCAAGGGAAATTTTCTCTTTGAAGTTAGTTACCACAACCTGATGCTCCTGGGTGAATCTCATTACCACAAGGGAGGGAAAACAGATGCCTCCACTAGCCCTGAGTCATCCCACCACTCACATGTGGAATCAGGAAGTCAACCTGCAACATTCCTCCCTGACAGGCCTTTCAACTGATTTCATTCCTTAGGCAGCTCAGCTTTTTCTTGGTAAAGTTAACCAGAACACGTACTTGACTGAAATTGAAATTATAGTAAAAGTCCATCCATGAGAGCATCCTGTCTGTGAATCCGCAAACCTGTAATTGCAGTGGGCATTGTTGTAGGCAAGTGTCTCGGTAGCTGAGCAGAACATTGTGATAAACTGTCCACTGAACACCATCGAAGTGTCAAGGAAGAAAAATGCAACAAGAATGTGGCCATTATGAAGAGTAAAATTCACCAAAAGAGCTGCTATAAATACAGACTGTTTACACACACACCTGGATACAAAGGCACCACAGGCTAATACTCGTTATCAGGTTTATCTGTTTTCTCTTTCTTTCCTCTGCCCTGTTATTCCTTTAATCCAAGTATTTGAACCTCACAGATTTTACAAATGTTCATCCTTATTGATTGCCATGCTCAGAGCCACAGCATCCTACTTCAGACTTCCAGAGAGGAAGTAAGTACTTGTGGAAACAAATAAATCCTATCAGGGAGTGGTAGATTAGGGACAACCCCAGTGACAGTTATGGTAAAGGCATCAAACCGTACTGGTTCTAACTTTCTTTTCCCTTCTTCAGTTCACGATCATTAAGAAAAAAAGGAAATTTGGTTGCAGTGAAATTCATTTTGAGAATCAGACTAGAGGAATAGCATAGCAACGCATGCTATTCAGGAGGACCTGGATTAAATTATGAACGCAGAGTAGTTTAACAGTTCCCAATTTTACCCCTCAGTTCTACTGAAACAATGATTGTAGGGAATAATTAGCCTTTATATTTCCCCATAGCTCTGCAAGTAAAATTTATGGTTCCAATGTACAGACTTTTCAAAGAAAGGAACATTTATTTGACCTACCTGTATGTCTTGAAATATGTATTTAGCACAGCTGTTCTTTTGTATTAAGCTCGTCAGAAAACGCAGCTTTAATGTAACCCACCATTGATCTGCATAAAGTGGAAACAAAAATCTCCCCTTAATTAGTATCAGCCAATCACTTTTTACATTTCTGCAGAACACACACTGTGAACTGTTTAATGGACTATTATTTAGAAAAGTGGTAAAGAATGCACTGGGGGAAAAATAGACACAGTAGAAATAAAAACTAGACACATCAGTGAAAAATATGTTGGGAATAATAGAAAACTGGATATATGGTTAAGCGATTCTCTAGTAGGTTACCGGAGAGATGAAATGTACTCTATTGCCAACAAAAGAGAAAACAAAAGAGACAGAGACACAGAGACACAGAGACAGAGAGATTGAGACTCACTGCCTACAACATTCAACTGTCTAAGGTAAATTTGATCGTTGTCTCCTTTTTTATTGTGAACCCTTGGAACCTGCACAGTGTGCGGAGGGGTAAATAAAGAAGTGAGAGGATTGAACACACTCAGACTCGGTGCATGTTTCCTTCTCTTCCTCATTGGCTGTGTCTTCATCAGAATGAGCTGGGGATCCAGACATAATCAAAGCCCAGAGATAATAACTGACTTGGGTACTTTGGTATTCACCACAGACTAGCTACTGGGAAATAAACTCAGAAGTAAAATGAGTTAAAATAAAATCACTCCACTCTCTTTTCCGTATGTAGATAATCTGAAGACTGTCAAGGCCTACAGAAAGCAACCCATCTTTCTCTGAAGAAGAGGCTGGACACCACCACCAATAAGGGCCTCCTTCAGTGCCAGCAGCAGAAAATTTAATTATGCAGCATGGTGTAGCAGAGAATCCCGGGGGTGAGCATTTTCATTCCTGAGTTCTTTCTCCATAGTGGTGCCTGAACAATAATAAAATAAAAGCACACAAAGGATGGTAAGGGAGTAAGACAGAAAAAAACCAAAAACAAAGGCAGGAGGAACACTCCCAGACAAGGGCAACCAGTGCTGTGATTTCAAGGCAGTATGAGAAACTCTCCTTTTGTTTTTGTAAAAGTTTTAAAAATTTTGCCGGTTTGCTTTTAGGTTTATTTTAGCTTCCTCAAAGCAGATTTTGGAGGAATGCTGATGAAGGGACTTCCCATTTAAGAGGTCACATGCTGGCCAAGACAAACCATTTAGCTCTGAACTAGAATGAAGGGCTTGTGAGGACAGTGCCACTTCAGGTCACTGGGGCTTTGCTTCTCAGAGAGACACGAGGGAAGACAACATTATCCTTCTTGTATGCGGGCATTGGAGGTAAGTACAGAATTGGGTTCACACTTATCTGACTTCACTGTCATTTTCATGGTTCAGGGCATCGTCAGGCTGGTTTGGCTCACACTGGATGAAAAAAAAATCTCACTTAGAAACTTCCCAAGCAACAGGCTGAACAATGCTCCCCACTCCCACCATGCCATGTGGTTGATTTTCTTTGCGAGTGTGTGTTTTCTATTGCTCTTATGTCTTTGAGTGTATCTCTTCTCCCTCCTCCAATATCCCCTTGACTATTGTCATTATTTCTCTCAACCACACATTAGCATGAATATGGATGCTGTAAATGGACTCAAGAGTGGTTAATACAAAACAGAAGAGATCAGTGTAGCTACATCAAACAGAAGCATTTATGTAGAAAGCAGAAACGTGCTTTCACCAGTGAAATCAAGTCACTGATGCTGCAATAGAAGGAACCTCTGAGCATAACACACCTTTCAAGGTTATGAGAGAGGGCCACCTCTGCAATTGATCAGCACCTCACCTTTGTTATATCTTACATTTTGGTTCAGAGATGGGCTGGGTATGGGAGTTGAGGAGAGTAACTAAATGTCACCTCTAACTTCAACAGTGGAATGCAAGCTCAGTCATGAGGACTGTCTAAATATCCTACAGAACAAATAAGGAGTAGGGAGAGTCACAGAGTGTGGAAGTGGGGTGGATCCCCAAGGCTCCCAGATGATGTATATACCTCTGTAATGAGAGAGTCCCACATTCCAGCTGGTGTGGGACAGTATCCAACCAAATGGTGTGGGACAAAATTACAACCAATTCTGCTTTTCATCTCACTGACTCTTACCTGTGATTCATGAATTGAGAATATTTCATCTTATAGAAGAGAAAGATTTTTTAGGGGCAATAGGCAAGCTGGGTTTGGAAATAGATGAGCTTTCCTGTTTACTTGCTCTGGAAATGTGGTATCATGATGAAATCAGTCATCTGTTGAGTTTGTCAGAACCTCTGGCTGCCTAGATGGGTATCATTGACTGCAGAAACCCCATTGTTTATCCCAATATGCAGTTCATTACAGGCTCTGAAGAACAGGCAAAAGATTGACAACAGTGGTAAAAACAAACTCAGAAAATACAAATCTGTAAAACTGACAGAGGTTAACACGTCATGACCATCTTAAGAATGACCATCTTAAGACACATATCCTGTCTGGTGAAAGGCTTTCACATTTTCTCACTCTTGTGTCTACTAAAACAGATATTTCTGTAAGTTCCTATCTATGTAATATCCATGACTGCCACCTGTATTAAACTATAGATGTGATAGCAACACATAATTGGTTTTTCCAAGTTACCCAGTTGCTCTGTATGGACATGTGGAAGGTATTCATAACAAATACTCACTCTGTAGAAAGCAGGACTCGGGGCTTAGAAAGAATTTGAAGATGTTTGTTTGCCTTGTTACTTCCAAGTCGAACATTTGACATAACTCTTTGAGGCCTCTGTTTTCTGCCACCTGCATCTGTTGCCCTCTTCACCATGCAAAGATCTCTTGCTTGGTCAATAATATAACTAGGAAAACCTACAGTATCCACAGGGGCCATTCAGGGAAAAAAAGCCAACAAAGTGGACTGTGTTAATATTCCAAAATTCCACTGGAAGCTTGGGGTGTTTTAGCTTATATCCAGTAAAGGAACTTTACAGAGAGCTTTAATTTTGCCAGGGATCTCAATGATTTGCAGTTCTGTGACATTCTTAGAAGTTCGGCTGAGCATTTGGTGCAGGAAGGAGGCAAAATCAATTACAGGCAATTTGACTGTATTTTTATTCAAGTAAAACACAGAAATCTTGAGTAACACTGAAATCTACTGACACACGGTCATAAATCGAGCAGGCTAAGCCATGCTGGTTTTCATTTTACTTCCATTTAATTTTCTAATTAATCTCAGAAAACATTAATTAATTTTGTCTTTTTCACAGGCAGTCTGGCACCCTTGGGCCTGAAACATCGCAAATATTGCTGGCCTCAAGCACTGGTAATCAAAATTTCTAATTCATTTGAGCAATCCAGTTTTTTGCTCCTCATTTCTCTTCCTGGTATATACATTTAACATTTCTTTAACCCTTTGGCTTTGGAGGATGCTTTTAGTCCTAGGTATAGAAGTAGGAGAATCAAATGTATGCTAGGCAAGCATTCTACATGATAAGTTTGTCTAGAGCCTTCTTTATTTCTATTGTTGTGTTTGGGTCTCATTAAGCTTATTCTTTTGAACTCCTTGAGTAACACAGGCTGGCTCCAAGTAGCCCAGGTTGGCCTCAAGTTTGTGATCATCCTTCTGTTTCAACTTCCTGTTAGCTGGATGACAGACATGCAACATCTTACTCAATTTGGGTCTGAGATTTGCCCTGGAAGTAGGACTAAAATGGTGAATAGACATCTCAGGTTACAGCAAATGACAAAAGGGAAACCATAAAGGTAGAGGTTTTGGTATGGTGACATTTGAACTCTTTTCTGCTCAAGTACTTACCTAAGTTCAAAAGGAATTCAAATATATTCAGACTCTGCTCTCCACCCAGACATCCAGAAGGATAGCCTATTTGACTCATCATACAACCTTTTTTTATTTTTGTAATTTATGTATTCTTTTTAAATTTCATTTTACAATCCAACCACATTTGTCCCTCCTGCCCTTCCCTCACATACTCCCCAACCCACCCCCAGTGCATTCTTCCTCACAGGTAAGGGTACTCATAGGGAGTCAGCAAAGTTGGACACAATAGGGTGGGACAGGGCCAGACCCCTCTCCCATGTTAAATCACAATGAAATAAGCATTCAGAAAAATGGATATTGTTAAAAACTAAAATGTTAGAGTTTTGTGTTTCCCTCACATTTTTCTTTTATCATCAAAAGAACATTCATCCCACATGTTCCACATTCTGTCAAAAATAGATAAATAAGCGTGGGAGTAAAGGCGATTTTATTGAGCCCACTGCCCAGCTTTGAAAACAAGGAGAGAAGAGGACATAAACTAACGACAGCCAACAACGTAGAGTGAAGTGACTGAAGAATTACAAACATGCCCCTTCAAAATGTGCAGAACTGAGGCTGCAAAGAGAGCTCAGAGCTTAAGATCACCCACTACATTCTCAAAGGCCCTGGGCTTGGTTCCCAGAACACAAAGTGGCTCACAACTATCAGTAATTCAAGTTCCAAGGTACACCATGCCCAGTTGTGGTCTCTGAAGGGACTTCACATACATTGTGCCCATTCATACATTCAGGGCTCTCATACAAATAAAATAAAATTTAAATATCTAAAATAAGTGCCTTGAATGGGTTTCCTGGAGGGACTGTCATCTCATAAAGTAATCTTCAGCCTGACCTTTCTATACACAGCAAGCCTTGAGGATTATTTAGGAAGGCTGGATGTGGCCTTGGTCACCAAAGATAAATGACTACCACTTTAAATCTCTGTATAATCTTTTGATAAACAGGCTATCATGATATTAAAGAAAGTAAATTTATGAAATTTTAATGCAGCTTGCATTTTTGACTTGAGTTATTGTTTACTTTGAAATCGTGAAGATTCCTCCAAATCATTTCTTAGAATTTTATACATGTGCATTTGAATGTAAAATGCTTAATTAGCTTGTTTTGAATTTGACATGGGTTTAAGGTAAAAATCCCCATTCACTTTTCCCCATAAGAACAACCCAATCACAAGTTAGCAAATTAGTTTGCCATGCTTTCAAAGTTATTGACAGAAGACAGGATTACTGGATTAGTGTCAAACGACACCTTTTATGTCACAGCGATACAAGCAGACAGAATACTGTGACTTGTGTGCAGGTTCTGTAAGTCTCAGTTTTTACAGGATAGGTCAAGTTCAGGAGTCCAGTCGACGTAGACATACAGTGGGTTGTGTAACTGGATCTGGTCCTGAAGATTAAGGAATCTGAACATTTTATATTGGGCCACAGGTTGATCTAATTTGTCCCTCATAGACAGCAGTTAGTATGTTGAATAATAAAAAGATCTGCTCTTTGAAAGAGGAACTATCTCCCCTCTTCCAGCAGTGGCAAGATAAGAATAAGGAAGTGACAGTATGGGAAAGCTTTTTAAAAATAAAATAATTATGTGACATCTTCCTCTTCTTCATCCATCCTCAGTAATACCCCCCAAATTGATAACCTTTTTTCTTTTTGATTCATGAAACACACAAATACAAACCATTGAGTCCATTTTTGTTGTTCGTGTGTATATACGGTTTCAGGACTCATGGCTTTGTATTAGGTGACTAGCCATGGCTGGAGCTCATGCCTGGGGGAATCTAATTATTCTTTGTCTCTTGGCAGTTATTAGTTGCTTCAAGTACTTTGTCTATGCTTGGGATCCCATGAGACGTGTTTCCCCTTTTGTATTTGTATGTCTATGCAGTAGCTTCTAGGAGAGGCAATCTCACAGCAGGATTCCTAGTGTTTTTGCTTTTTCAGACATTTCACTCTTCCTTCCAATAAGCATAGAACCAGGGGCTGTACCCTGGCATTATCTGTTGTGGCTCTCCACAATCTGAGGATCTCTGTATTGGGTCCAGCTGTGGTTTTCTGGTGCAGTCTCCGTTTACTGTAGAGAGGAGCTTCTTTGATGAGGGGAAGGAGTACACTTACCTGTGAGTAAAAAGATAAGAGTTCGAGTGTAATTAAGAGATCACACTAGGCTAGCATTAATAGATTTTCTTCCTAAGATCCACGACTTCACTAGCCTGATGTAGTTGCCTAGGTTTTCATCACTAGGCATGATTTCCCATGTTGAATGGGCCTTAAGACCACATAGACAGCAGTTGGTTACTCCAAATGTGTGAGTATCTCCATTGCCCCTTTCCAGATATTTTGCCATGCTGGCCATTCCCGTGGCTCATAGGTTTCATAGCTTGGTAGGACTATTAGTTGATTCCTTCTCTTGGTAGCTTGTATATTACCTCCTGATAATGGAAGCTAGACTACAGGAAGGAGGCTTTCAGGTTAGATCCAGCTTAAATCATCCTCATTCTGCATCCAACATAGACAGTATCCACAGACATAAGGTCTTACCTTCAACCTCTGAGAGGCATTCAAGGCTGACAGCAATACCTATATTGCTTTTGAAGTCACTTGGACTCATCAGACCAACAACTTGAAAGGAAGATTCTCATGCCTGGTACAGGGACTTTTATTAGTTGATGTACAGAGACTTTTACTAGTTGATGATACATATGGCAGGTATTGTCATTCTAAGTGGTAATACACACACACACACACACACACACACACACACACACACACATATATATTGCGTGTGTGTGTGCGCGCGCGTGTGTGTGTGCGTGTCTGTGTGTGTGTAATGTGTATTTTCTTAGGTAAATATAAAATAACATTGTTAAACAAATATATTTGTGTCTCCTTCCTTCTCCTTCTGTACTGACCTCGATTCTCCTACATAGATGAACACCGCTGCGTTTTTAAATTTCCTTCTTCAAATCAGCTGTACCCTGATATTCCTCTTTTAAGTCCGCCCACCCCATCCAAATGGTCCCTCATACTTTCCTTGTTTCTGTTGTTACTCCATGTTGTACTCACATTTGAGAACTTGGGGCTAGGACCTAAAGATGAAAGCAAATATTTAGTGTTTGTCTTTCTGAGTCTGGGTTACTTCACCCAATAATATAACATTTCACCAGTTCCAATAATTTTCTGCAAACTTTATGTGCTCATTTTTCTTTACAGCTGAATAGTATTCCACCATTTGTAAGTATGACATTTTCATTATTCATTCACCCATTGAAGGACACTTAGGTTATATTTTCAGTTTTGTGAGGATTGGGCACACACTGATTTTCAGAGTGGCTACACCATTGTGCATTCCCATTAATAGTGAATGAGGTTCCCTCATTCTCCACAGCTTCACAAGCATTTTTCTAATTGTTGTTTTGATGAACTTAGCCATTCTGGTTGGGGTGAGATGAAATATCAGAATTATCTCTAATTTACATTTCCTTGATTGATAAACCCTCTTAGATATTTAGTGCTTCTTAGTTATTTTTGTTTTTACTGTCAAGAATTCTCCATTCAGATTACTAACCTATTGTTTAATTGGGCCATTTGCTTCCTTGACTCTTTGTTTAAGTCTCGGTATATTTTTGATATTAATTATCTGTCAGATGTATAGATGACAAAGATTATGTCTCATTTTATGAATTTTTTCTCCAATTAATTGTTTCCTTAACTGTATTGAAACTTTATTTTTTGAGGCTCTATGTACCAGTTGTTAGTGTTAATTCCTGGTCAAATGTAATCCTATTCAGAAAGACCTTTCCTACATCTGTATCATGTAAGGTACTGTCTATGTTTCCTTCTAGCAGTTTTAGCATCAGATTTCTAAACTGAACACTTGGAGATAATTTTTGTGCAGGTTAATATATTATGGTCTAATCTCTTTCTTCTATATGTGTATAACCAATTTGGCCAGCACCATTTATTTTGAAGATACTGTCTTACCTTCTTTGTAGTGTATGTTTTTTGCCATCTTTGTCAAATATCAGATAACTATAGTTGTGTGTACTTATGTTTGCATTTTCTAGTTTATTCCATTTGTCTACATTTCTGTTTTTGTGCCAGAACATTATGGTTTTTATGAATATAGCTCTATAATATGTCAAAGAGCCTGGAATCACAATGCCTCTAGTGTTACTCTTTTCCCTCAGGATTGCTTTGGCAACTGGAATCTTTTTTGGTATCATCTTAGTTCACTGTGTCTTTTGGTTGATAGGGCTAAGGCTCTATTGATCTTATCATCATAAAGGACTCTCTTAGATTTATTGATTCTTCAGATTGTTTTCCGTGTTTCTATTTAGTTGATATCTTCTGTGATTTTTATGTTATTTCTTGATGATTCCTGGGTTTAGGTTTGGATAGGTTTTGTTTTTCCAAATTCTTGAGTTGCATCATTAGGTCATTCGTATGTGTTCTTTCTGATTTTTTAATGTAAGCACTTAGAGCT